GGAATGAGGCTTGCTTGTTTGTTGTTATGCGTCTTTTACGTAAACGGGACTATTTATTCGGAGCGTCCTATGCACTCTCATAATTTCAGAACTTTTTCCGTATGCAGCCAGTGCGGAATATCATAGGCGGAACAGTTGCTCTCGTAGGGTAGATCTGCTCAGAACCGGAGGAATGAAGATGTTGCTCCTGAAGTTCTTCAAAACAGCTTTTCGACCGTTTCATGGTTACAAGCAATCGTTGAATACCTTAGCTGATAGTGCAACTGCAACTTTTGAATCAATATTGTTCTTTCGTAACTGTTCTATACGAAATATATAGATTCTGTTACTCCATTCACACACGCTGGCGAAACGTTTGAAACCAGATCTTTCTTAGGCCTGTCAGTGGCTGTTGAAGTTTGGCTGAAACATCGCATTACCTCAAGTAACTTAAGTGTAAAGGAGTAGATGACTAGTGTGAGATTTCGTTTTTTCCATATTACGTCTTAAAAGTGATTGAACAGCATACATGATTTATAGTTAAAGCAGCGCATTCTGACAGCATTATGGCAGTAAGCTTTGACCACTGTTTCAACCGGGTCCTCGATAAGACGAATCAAGGTTTCTGTGACCGCTGATCGTCCTGAGGGTTCAAAACATTCAGTAATCCAAGTGATTACTGTTTATGCTATACATTTTGAATTTTGTACTCAATGTGTGTGTAATCATGCATTTTTTTCCATACATTGAGTAGCGAAGGAGCGTTAAAAAATGTCATTTTATCGTTTGCAGATTCTTGGCTACGCCCTCACCCTCCCGTTCAGTGCCGAATTCGACAACACGATCAGGAATGCGGTTAAGATTTACTGCGAATGGCTGACTTGCGTGTTTCAAGACGGCAGCCATCGGCAGTTGCCACCGCCTCTGCGCGATCAACCTCGTTTCTACGTTCCAGAGATCCTCGGTCACATGCATAGCCTGTTCATGTCCAGGAAAGAGAACGGTTTGCACACGCTACCGCTGTTTCGCGAATACAGGCTGATCTTTATTATAGGGCAAGACGGGGGCATCTCCCGCGGCGATCACGTCACTCAGTGTCTGTTCGTGTTGAACTTAATTTATTCGATGTCTGTGAAGACCAAGGTCGAATATCAGCCGCAGATTTTTCCCGAACTACTCAAGTTTCTTTTGAGTATTAATGATCAGCTGTTGTCGCACCCTTTTGGCGTTGGTAAGTTTATGGACACTGCGATGATGACGAGCTAAGCTCCATTGTAAACAATTCATTATTGTTTTAATAGCAAAAATTATCACAGATCTCTTTTCTTGCGAATGTCTTGTTTTTTGTTCATGACTAGACGTCAATTAGTTTAAAGTA